GCCCCGCCTGCTGCGCCGCGGGGCGCCCGCACGGGGGCGCTGCCGACTGGGGGCGCCGAAAGCCCGCGCGGATCGCGGTAACTCCGGGAATTATCACACAAAATGGGCATTTCCCAAGGATTTTGTCTGGGGAACAGGTAGGCGATAAAGCCGCAGCCTGGGCAAATGCCTGTCACGTCCCCTATTATTAGTTTTATCAGGAGACTCGCTGCTTTATTGTAAGTTTTATCAGGAGACTCGCTGCGAGTGACTCAGTTCCTAAAATCTGTTACCACATCCATCACATCATTGATATTGTCGTATCCCTGCCCTAAGTTCATATCTAAAATTCGTCACTTGCATCTGTCCACCTCCCCTGGATATTGCACAGAGGGCAATGCAGTGGGGAATCCCCACCGCTGGGGAATTGTTTTCCAGGATGACCGATATCAGTCAATATTTAACTGTTTGGTTTTTACCGTGCTATTCCTCACTTCCAGCCCAAGATCCTTAGGTTCTGCTCGCTGCCACAGCCTCCTCGTTATCCTTCCACTGGAAAAAGAAGAAAAATAAATAAATAAATGGAAAGTTGTGCCCTGCCGCCTTCTTTAGTCTCCACCCCCTCGAGTGGGGTTTTTAAGCAGGAGAGGAGCTGTTCGGAGAGACCGGAGATGTGGAGAACACAGAGCCAGGCTGGTCCGTAAGAGGGAATCATCAGTGGAACACAGCAGCGGAGAAGTCAAAAGGTAGGTGCTGCTCTGCACCTGTTTCACTCCCTGCATTTCCCATTTGCAAGGGGAGATTTTCCGATTTTCCCATGCCCATCGGTGGCATTATTGTTAAATACTAATAAACACGATTATTTATTAATTACCATTGTACTTTAGAGGCGTTTAGCTGAGCTTCTGGTGTGCGAGAGCATTTAAGGTTGCAAGCTGTTCCAAGGAAGCCTCAGCAAGACACTGCAGGGAAAGGGCTGCCAGCTCCAGGCTCGGGAGGAGGCTCCTGCCAGGAGAAAATCCCACCAAAAAACAGAAATCGGAGCAGTAATAAACAAATGTCCTGATGCTGAGCAGCGACCCAGAGAGCCAGCTGTGAGAGGATAATTTATTGTCTTCCTGGGAGATCGGACTCTGCATTTGTGCCTAGGCTTCCAACCAGGATAATGGAGGGACAGCAGGAGGAGGGCGGATCTTGTGCAGCTCTGCCTGAAAACTCTTTTCACATGCAACCAAAACCACAGGAAATATTGAGAGTAATTCCCAAAGGGAGGATGGGCTTTGATACAGTTATTTCCTCCAGTGCCTCCAAGGACTTTGGGCTCTTGCTATGCCTTTTATTTCTTTTCTCCCAAAAGAGAGGTTTGTCCCCTGCCACCCTTTAAAGGGAAACAGCAGTGAGTCTGAACACTCATCTGCTCCGTTTAGAAAGCGGGGACAGCAGCCCTTTCTCCAGAAAGCAGGAAAAGACAGAGACCATCTGCAACCTTTTATTTGAGCTAATCCAGGAGAGCAGTTTATCAGGAGGAAAAACATTAGTGCTGCAGATTCAGATCAGAGCAGCCCTCGCTAATGGACAGACCTGGGGCACCGCAGGGAAGGAATTCAGGGGGAGTTGTTTGTACTCTCTGCTCCACTAGTGACCTTGCGACCTTGGTAAAATGCTTTTCTAGGTCCTTTTCCACATCTCTAAGACACACTCATACCCTTGCTGCTGAGAGAGGCTGTTGCTAAAATTAAAATCATTAATAGTTAAAATGTGGGATTCGAAGCATCAGCATCATGGATACCTTAATGGAGGTAACGCATTCGCAGTGCTCCCTACCTGTATTCCATGCTACTTGCTCAATACTTGCACCACGTGTGGCATCTCATGAACTCGAAGTGGAAACATGAACGAAACAAGCAGCTTCTAACTCATTTTGAATCCTCAGAGAACTAAGCCCCTCAGCTACTATGCATTCAGGGTATCCTATGCCTTTATGTCCTAACGTACCTGAAAATGCAGAATCAAGTGTCAAAATAACATGTTGGGGCCTCTGACTTTTTGCTGGATTATTTCTCCATCAGGGAGGAAGCAAAAGGGCAGAGCAGCAGGCACAGAGTATTTAGCAGAGCTCTGCATAAAAAGGATTGCTAGCAGGAATCTGCTTGCAGTCTTGTAAACACGGTATTTTTCAAACAGCCGTATGGTTTCAGTTTGATAGAGCTTATCATTCATAACATTCCAGCTGACTGGCATAGGTTCTGCCTTTCCCCAAAAGAAGGAGACAAAGCTGTCAACATGGATTACCAGTTTTCCATGTGGGATGGCAGCCACAAAAGCACGGGAAGGGCCTTAGCACCATAATACCAGGTAGCCAGAATCAGGGCAGCAAAAACAAGAGTTTGTATTTCAAGTTGCTTTTTCTTTTTTTGAGCAAACCCTTAAAAAAAAAAAAGCCACTTAAATTTCTCTCCCTTTTTAGCTTTGGATCCGAGCTTATGACTAATTCATCTGTTGCATTCCAGTTTACCAAGCTGTTATCCAGCTGCCTTCTCTGTCTTTATGTAAATAGACCTGAACTCCTGATTTCTCAGAATAGTAATTCTCAAATAATGGCTTGGGGTGGCTTTCTACTTGCTCAAGGACCATATCATACAGGTAAAAGGACAAGAGAGAGAGCACCTGAAGATTATGTCAAAGATTTGGAAACAGGATCGAAACAAATGAGACCTTGTTGCCTGTTTCTCTGCCTCGTCCCCAGCTCCTGCTGCATTTAGGAGCCCTATGAATTAAAGGAAGAGGAAAAAAAACACCTTTTGGTGCTGAACTTGGTGAAAAAGAGTGATATTCCTAACTACGCACTCCAGTTATTGGCCATCTAGACTGACTGCAGCAGGAGTCCTGACTGCTGTGTCACCGAACTCCTCGATAAAGTTATTTATCCACTGTAAGAATTCAGATTTGACAATAAGCCAGGCTTTACTGGAGTTTTCTCACATACATCCATTTTCCTGATCTTTTACAGTTACTGTAAGGTCATCAAAATAAAAGAAAGGACAATTTTTTTTTTTTAGGGAATTTTCCTATAAGGATGAGTAGAAGAGCCAGGAGCTCATAACAAAGTGCACCGGCCCATGGGCAAAACCACCTCAGAGAGCCCTTCACAGCCTTAGTCTCTTATATTCATGCTTTTTTTTTTTTTCCAGGAATTAGGAAAAGAAATGTGTTTTGGTCCAACTAGAGGGAAAAAATATGTTGCTTAATTGCAGCCATAAACTTTTTTTTTATCTGCCCAGGGCTGAAGCTGGGTTATGAAACTCTCCCCATGTTCAGATTTTTCTCTACCTAGCAACTGCCCTAAAGCAGCGCTCACTTCCACAAAGCTGCTTTGCCCCCGTGAAAGAAACCACTTGTTTTTCTCCTTTTGTCAGCAGCAAAACTGGGGGAAGGGAAATCCGAGGACAAGGTGGTACACTCAGTGACTACAAGGATCTAAATTCAAGCTTCTGCCAAGGAATTGCCCACGCAAAGGCAAATAGAAATGTGCTTTGCTACAGAGAGAGGAGTTACAGAGCAATCACAGCACCCAAGTGCCCTTCCTAAAGCTGCTTGTGTAAGCCACGTCAGAGCAGGAACTTCATCTGATAGGAAATCAAGGTCTGACGAGGAAGAGGGAGATTTTCAAAGCATATGAGATGAACGGAGGCAGAGATCCAGGTTCATCCTTAACACCAGCCACTTCACAGCAGATGGTGAGAGATGACTGTGGGCTCCCTCCCAGGACAACTGCTGTGGGACCGGCTATGGAAATGAGTCCGGAGGAAACAAAAACCCTTCACACGAGCCGGAGAAGGGCTTTGTCTGCAGGGTAAAGCTGCTGGAGGGATTAAAAGGAGTAAGAGGGAGTTATGACTGCAGAGAAGTGACACAAGGGAAGAAAAGCTGTAACGAGTAAATGAGAGTGCCAGGCCAAAAGCTGGCTTGCCAGCCAACTACCATACTCTCACTTCCAGCAAAAGCATATGACAACAGCAGAAATTAAAAGCTCAGCCAGGGCAAACAGGGAGACGATACAGAAATATTCAAAACCAAATACAGAGCAGTGCATAGTCCCCATCATAGGCTCTTTCCTGTCATTAAAAGGCAGCAAGACCCTCTCTACAGGAGACTCAAGCCCTTGCTCATACCCGGAGACAGAATTTGCACATTAAATGCAAATCCTGCCCAACCACTGTTGTCACTGACAGACACTTAGCAGGAGTGCTAGATGCAATAACTAAGAATTGCAGAGTGGAAAGTGGATTTAACAGCTTCGCCTTCCCAAACCTTCAACTCAACTTGCAACCTAAAACTCCACTCACACTGTAAACCCCTTTTTCCTTTTGTCTCTACAGATACTGGAGATCTGGGGGTGATGTGGAAAACACAGAGAATGGAAGGCAAACTCCCGTGTCTCCTCTTACTGCTGGGAGCATTCACCACTGTTCAGTGCCAGGTAACAGGCCAAGGTAGCAACACGACTCTTGCTCAGAAAAATCAGAAGCATTTTTGCTTTGCTGCTTGTCAGCTGAGCAAAAATAACTACTTGCTCACTTCTACCTCCTCATTAGTGGGAAATTAAACCTGTTGGCTTAAACCTCCTGCAAATAATGGACAGCTGACAAGCTTTAGTTGGCAGTTAGAGCGGCCCAGGAGCACATAATCACTTCAGTCAGCACCTCCCTTGCCAAGCTCATGTCACTCAGCGGGCAAGTAGTGACCTGGTAATCTATGGTAATGTAATGATTTACAGTTCTTTGTACCTACGCTGAAGCACTAAAGGCACTTTTCACTGTACAGGCTGAGAGCAAGGGCAGAGAGTTGCTCAGCTGCCCCCTGATTTGCAGGACATTGAAGAAAGGGCTGGCTATTTGGTTGCACTTGTTTTCTGGAGGAGTGGTTACTCACAGGATGTCCCTTCTTTGCTCGCAGGGCTTCCGCACGCGTTTCAAACGGGGAGCCAGATCTCGAGGTAAGCCAGGCAAACTCCTGTTGTCCTCCCTGCTGCTTTATGAACCGAAGAAGGGTAGAGCAGATGGTGTTGAGGGAACCAAGCTTGAAAGCTGTTTGCTGCAGTTATTTAGGGAGGTCTGAGCATGGGGGACAGAGAAGACAAAACAGAGGAATATTAATACCTCACACCACTCAGAATGAAGTTTCCCTCTCCCTTTAATTCAAAGACCAAAGAGGCTGTGAATAGCAGAATTGTGCATCCAGCAGCTTAGCAGTAAGACAGAAGCGACAGGTCTGCTCTGGCAAGACAAAAAGCTGGCCCAGTAGATAGATACTGGCCGATCCTGGATGCTCCTCTCCTGGAAAGAGAGATGTCTTCCTTTGCTCAGCCGTTTCTGTTCCAGGAATCTCTAAAAGAGGCTTCCCTGTCTCCGATTACAGCCATTTGCACAGACCACTCATCTGGAGAGATTTACCAGCACAGGGGGACCTGGCTGAGACTCTCAGGGAGCAGAATAGAATACTGTAGGTGTGACAGCGGTTGGAGTCGCTGCCACAGCGTGCCCATCAGAGGTGAGTACGGAGCGAGTGCTGCACTAAAAAGGACTGTAAACACAGGATAACAACGAGTAGGCAGGGCAAAACAGAACAGAGCTCTCAGGAGGAGAGAGATGGATGCGTGTGTTGCTCCCGCGCAGTCTAATGCATTTCCTGGCTTCTCTGCTCCACAGACTGCACTAGAAACAAATGCTTCAACGGAGGACAGTGTTCCCAGGCGTATTACTCCCCCCAGCTCTTTGTTTGCCAGTGCCGCCAAGGCTTCTCGGGGAAGCAGTGTGAAACAGGTGACTATATAGATCCCATACGATCTTCTCCTAGGTGGCCGTGCTGCTGGCTTCGGTTCTACAGTGTAGAGGGAAGAGATCTTCAGAAGATGCTTCTGTTCTGGAGCTAATTCTGCTAAGAATGCATTAAAAGGACAGTTGCTGGTGTTTCTTGCTAAAGCTTTAAATTTTGGAGCTGAGGACTTTTGCGCTTGTTTACAATCTGTCACACAAAGTGTTTTCAGTGCCTGTATGAGACACCTGGGAGCTCATTTTAAACAGAGGAAAGGGAAAGCGAGTTTGGGATGATGGCCTTTTAGTGACATTTTGTTCCCTTCTGTTCAGACACTGCAGTTAAGTGCTACCAAGACACTGGAGTAACATACAGGGGCACATGGAGCACAACGAAGAGCGGGGCTGAATGCTTAAACTGGAATACGAATGGACTGAGGGACTGGAAGTACAGCGGCCAAAGAGAGGACGCTGCTGAGCTGGGACTGGGCAACCACAACTACTGCAGGTGAGGGACTGATGGCACCGCAGGGTCCCCTGCCTGGAGCACAGGGCCCAGGAAGGGCTTGAGCACTGGTGAAAGCATCGGCAATTGCAACTGCTCGCTCCTTCTCTGTGCCTAGAACTCCCTTTGGAAGCCAGTTTCCTCCCAACTCTGCCTGCTCCTCTGGAGGCTCAAAACACTTTCTAAAATATACTGTTTCCTGCACACGAACTAAACTGCAAATAAGCTCTTCCTTCCTGCTCCTGCCTGTCTCATCCTCATCTCCCTGTACTCCACACTTAAAATAGTAAGGGACATTATTTCTCATGGCTCAGTCTACCTTCCTCCTGCATGGCAGGATCAAGCTATTGAAGGAGATGGCACCCCTGGAACTAATACTGAGAGCCTCATGATAATACAAACCCTTGTAACTCTTGCAGAAACCCCGATGAGGACTCCAAACCTTGGTGCTACATCTACAAAGGGGGAAAGTACAGCTGGGAATATTGCAGTGTGCCTTCCTGTTCAAAAGGTACGTGCAGAGAGACAGGGAAAGGACATTAGAGACTCCCCCCTTCACTGCATTTTTCAGAATTCTCTGTGGACTTGTTCTATTGCTGTCATTTGAAAATGCTGAACAATGTTCAAGTTAAACACTGTTTAAACTTTTAATATTTATGACACAGACAGAAATGAGAATAGCTGATCTAGAGCTGTCTCAACACAAATTACAATAGGAAGAGCTGACAGTCGTGTTTTATCAGTTAACGTGCAACTTTCTTATTGAAGTTGGGAACATCAACTGCAAAGCTGGAAGAGGCACAGATTACAGAGGCAGCCACAGTGTCACCAGCTCTGGAGCTACCTGTTTGAGGTGGAATTCTCGAATCCTTGCCAACAAATTATATACCGCTTGGAGAAGAGATGCTTACCAGCTGGGCCTTGGTAGTCACAATTTCTGCCGGTATGTAGGCAGTTATAGTATGAATTTTATATATACATATATGTGGTGTGTGTGTGTGTATGCATAGAGTTCCCTGGGGTACTCTTGAGGCAGAGTTCTGGCCTTTTATATGAATTACTAAAGCGCAGGAAATGCAGTAGTGCTGGGAATGAAGCTCAGTGCCACTAGGGCAAGTGAAATGAAGATGAGTATCTATGTTTCTCCCTAACACCAGCTGCCACAGATGCAAATTACACATGTTGCTAGTGCCCATCTCCAGGAAGATCTAAAATGGTGCATTCGATCTCAGTCCCCGCTTTAGTTGGGTATCTCCTTCTCCCCAGACCTGATAATGCAACTAGCTTTTCTTGTTCCTGTGCTGCAGGAATCCTGACAATGACAGCAAGCCTTGGTGCCATGTGCTGAAAGGAAACCAGCTCACCTGGGAGTTCTGCAACGTGCCTACTTGCTGTAAGAAACCTAGTGCTCCTGCTTCACCCCTTTCCTTAAGGCACTACTGCTCTGCATGTCCTGCATGTTCAACTCAAGCCTCTTACAGAAAAATAAGAACTGCAGAAAGGCTTCCTGGGGTTAGAAAGGGATTCTGTGGTTTGGCTCTCGCAGAAGAGCCTTTCCCTCTGCCAGCAAAGATGACTGCAGAATTGGGAATGGAGAGAAAAGGCAGGGCTTCCTTGCTGTGGTTTGCAGAACACAGTACTAGTTTCCTAGGAAAGAGGAACAAGTCAGATCCTACGAAGTTCATGCCAGGCTTACTCAGCACGCACTGATAACTGACCGACTTTTCATGCAAAAAAGCCTTTTTTGGGGTTTGTCACCCACAGCCACCTGCGGCTTAAGGCAGCGCCGCGGCCGCCAATTCCGGATCCAGGGCGGCTCCCGCGCGGACATCACCGCTCACCCCTGGCAAGCTGCCATCTTCGCCAGGTACCGCCGGGCGCCCGGCGAGCACTTCCTCTGCGGGGGAATCCTCATCGGCTCCTGCTGGGTGCTCTCAGCGGCTCACTGCTTTCAGGACGGGTGAGTGAAAAACTGAGT